GGGTTTAGGGAGTTTAGGGCTTGAGTTGAAGGTATAGGGGGAAAGGGTTTAGTGTTTAATCATTCAAGAGCTCAAGGATATAGGGTTTGGGGCGTTAAGGGTCAAAGGGTCTAAGCGTTTAGTGCATTTAGGGAATTTAGGGTTAGCGTAAAGGGTTCGGCGAAAGAATTTGTGGAGAGTACCCCAAAGATGGAGAATCAGATGGAAAAGACAAAGGGACATAATGGGTTTGGTAGGGGTTGTACGTGTGGAAGAGCCCCAGCAAGTTATAGCCAGTTGGTATCCTAGAGTCCTACAGTCCCTAATAAATACCTTCATAGAAACCCAAAACCTAGGTATGGGACATTTGTCTATTGTCAAGCGCTCATGCTGGCGGTTCCAGCCTGATTTCCAACTTTTTCGGGATTTGCGACCAGCGAGGCGCCAAAGCTGCACCCCTACCCCCTGAAATCACTATAGGGTTAGGATGTAGGGTTTATGGTTTAGGGTTTAGGATTTAGGGTTTAGGGTTCAGGATTTAGGGTCCCCCTATATGGGGATCTTATTATAATGTACCCGAAGCCATATTCTATCTACTTAAGAGGGACTGTAAGTACCCCCGACCCGACATCGTACCACTACATGTTACGCGCAATATTGAGTGTTTCTGGCTAGGGAGGTTGGAGGTTTTATGGTTAGGGGGGAAGCTACTTCGTTTCAGCCCGAAGGAATCTGCAACATCTTTACCCTAAGGGTCCAAGGGTCCAAGGACCCAAATAATAGGGCTTCAGGGCCCCAAATATCATAATACTATAGTATTAAGGCCCTGAACCTTAATATTTGGGTCCTTGGACCCTAAACCCTAAACCCTAAACCGTATATATTCCCCTATAACCCCTTTAAAGGGACCATATTATTTGGGTCCTTGGAGCCTTAGGGTTATAAGCCTCATGGGTTCTATGAAAAGCCGAGGACCCTTCGACCTACGAGCTCCTACTCCTACGCCTCTCGTTGACAAACTCTTGCATCAGGGTTTAGGGTTTAGGGTTTAGGATTTAGGGTTTAGGGTGTAGGGTTTAGGGTTAGCCGTTATTCAGGGGGGACAACCCTAAACCCTACACCCCTAAACCCCTAACCCCTAAACCCCTAAACCCCTACACCCTCAACCCTAAACCCTAACACCTAAACCCCTAAGCCCTCAACCCTAAACCCTAGACCCCAGGCGCCTACATAGTGCGCGTAGAGCTT